AGAATTGGGGTCATGATAGTGGGGGGAAGGAAGCATTAAAGAACTAGAGGAAAGCTGTATGTTTCCTCGGTGCTATACTGCACTGACTGGTGGAGCCAATTTTCAAAGAAATTGTGCTCTGGCTATATTCGGTTTTCAAATGAAAAGTAACAATAAGAAGCTTCTTAAAACTGTAGTGACTCAGGTGCCAGCACCTCGGGACAGCTGCCTACCAGGTAGGGCACTGGCCAGCTGTTCTTGGCGTCTGAGGTACAGAAATGCACCCCAGAAGCTGTCTGGTCACCAGGGAGTGGGGTCCATGGAGATGTGGAAACAGAGGAAACGTGGGGCTGCCCTAGAGGGTAGAGAGGGCCTGGGAGCATCCTTGCAATGGCAGCCCTGTACCGTGTTACGTTGTATACACCTACAGCTCTTGGTGTTACTGACGAGTCCAGTTTACCAGACTCAGTGCCATCGAGTCATGCCGACCCTCAGCAGCCCTCTGGGGCAGGGTGGAACGGCCCGTGGGTTTCTGAGACTAACTGTTCACAGGGACAGAGAGCCTGGTCTTTGTCCCTGTTGGCTAGAAATGCTGTCGTGTTTTGCAATGAATTCTAGCAGCGATGGACTCAAAAGTACATGTTCACTGAAGGACAAAAGTTGAGCCAACCAAGGGAAAACACCCAGAAGCCTGCCCTGTGTGGGTCGGAGCAAATCCACGTGGTTTACTGGGCGCTGCCCGGCGCCGCCCCCAGGAGCAGTCAGTGCTGCTGAATGAAGGACTTGTTCCAATTAGACTTCGGGACAAGTGGCACCTCTTCAGGGCGGGGTCCCCTTTTCAGGACCCCTCTCCCTGGCGCTGAGGCAGTCCGGATTTTCGGCAGTTTTGCACAGTTGACTTTGAGCGGGTTCTTGCGGCCCCTGCCTGAACAGGTTCAGTTTCTGGAAGTGGAGACGCTGGGCTAGAGGCTCGAGGTCACGTGCCCTAGATCTCCTTCACCCCGAAATCGGCCGCCGTCCCTGCGCCCCGGCCACTGTGAGGATGAGTCTGTTTGGAAATTCAAAAGATGGGTGCCGTGTGGGCACCGTGCCGCCAAGGCTCCGTAGAAAGTTGTTAATGGTGGAAATTGAAACTGGGAAATGACAGCGTTTAAAAATTAATCCTCTGGAGCAACGGCTGAGCCACATTTTAAAGCCTTTTAATCTCTAGCGGAAAGATTCCGAATGACTGTGACCAACCACACGCCCCCGGGATGGGCAGCGGGCGGTCTCTGGGGCCCTGGTGACCCCTCCTTCTACCGCAGGCCCTGCCAAACGGAGCGCCCCATTCAAAGCCCGCCTCCCCGGCCCTCATTGAGACCAAGGAGCCCAACGGGAACCCGGCCGGGCCCCCAGCCGAGGAGGGCGAGGACCGGGATGGCCAGGTGGGTGCAGGCAGAGGGCCAGGAGGGACGGGGAGCAGTACCCCACCCCCAATGCTGCAGGAAGAGCCCTGAGCGCGGGCTGGGCGCCCTGGGCGCAGCCTGACTCTGCTGTGTTGTGACAATGGAGCCCGGGCAGGTCATTGCCTCCCGCTCTCCCCGCACCCCCGGTTACATGGGCTCAGGCGGGTTGGAGGGGCCCGTAGGTGCTCGCCCAGGCTCTATGCGGAGCCGATGGCCCCGCACCCCGTGGGCTGAGCACGTGCTCCCCTGGAACTGGCCTCGCTGACTTGCAGGCAGACAACCCCTCGTTCCCCAACCCTCGCCGGAGGCTGCACCTGCAGGACCTGGCCGACCGCGTGGTGGACGCCTCCGAGGACGAGCACGAGCTCAACCAGCTGCTCAACGAGGCCCTGCTGGAGCGGGAGTCGGCCCAGGTGTAAGTGCCGCCCGCAGCCCTGGGTGTCCCGGGCCGGGTGCGCCCTCCCGAGGGTGGGGTCCCGGTGGGCTCGGGCTGTGCCCACGTCCGGTTTCCGTGGCGCTTGTCTCCACTGCAGAGTCAAGAAGAGGAACACCTTCCTGCTGTCCATGCGCTTCATGGACCCTGAGATGGAGACCCGCTACTCGGTGGAGAAGGAGAAGCAGAGCGGCGCGGCCTTCAGCTGCTCGTGTGTCGTGCTGCTCTGCGCCGCCCTGGTGCAGGTCCTCATCGACCCCGGGTACACAGGCGGGGGGAGGGGGGATCCCCAG